ACTCGGCTCAGTGCTTGTAGCTCAAGTGACTAAGGCGCGATCCACATACACCTGAGCTGGTGGATTTGAATCTAGCCCGGCCTGCCAAACAATGACAACTACAACCAAAAAATAGCTGGGTGTTGTGGCAGGCAGCTGTAGTCCCAGCTACTTGGGAAGCTGAGGCAAGAGACTCACTTAAACCCAGGAGTTTGAGGTTGCTGTGAGCTGTGATGTCACCACACTCTACCCAGGGTGACAGCTTGAGGCTGTCTCAAATAAAAAAAAAAAAGGAGCGCACTTGACCAAGAAATTTTATTTATAGGAAGTGTTCTAGCGTAAAACCTTTTCACCTATGCCAGAAGTTCTCAACCTGTGGGTCACAACCCACAGGAACTATATTAAAGGGCCAGGGCATTAGGAAGGTTGAGAACCACCACTGACCTATGCCTATTCCAGGACTACAGCTGCCCCAACCCTCAACATATTTGAGCCTCAAATATGTTCCTCCCCATCTCAAAAAATTACAATGCTATCCTTCCTACTCAGGCCAAACCTTGGAATTATTTTTACACCTCTCATTCACACACTGCAAATCCTTTTAGCACTACCTTCAAAATATATTCCAAGTCTGACCACTTCTCATGTATCTTGATCAATGTATGCTCTAGCCCACGTCCCTGAATTTTTACAAAGCCTCCCCACTTCCACCACTGCTTGCTGCTCTGCAGTATACTCTTAATACAACCATCAGTGATTGTATTAAACAGAGATGGTGCTACTTAGCTCAAACCCTTCCAAGGGCCTCCTATGTCACTGAGCAACACCCAAAGTTCTCTACTGGCCTTCAGAGCTCTGCTAGATGCATCCCCCTCTTTGCTTTCCTTACAGCATTCTCTGCCTCCTCCCCAGTCCACTGAACTAACTCTGTTATTTATTTATTTATTTATTTATTTGAGACAGAGCCTCAAGCTGTTGCCGTGGGTAGAATGCCATGGCATCATGGCTCACAGCAACCTCCAACTCCTGGGCTCAAGCAAGTCTCCTGCCTCCACCTCCCAAGTAGC